GAGACGAGTTCCGTGAGGTGTCCCTGTGAGCTCGTACTTGGGAGGGGCAATAAGATGGTCATATAAACAGAAAATCTCAACATAGCGTCACTAGTGTGCAGAGAGGCAAGGATGGGCATCGAGGGGATCAAGGGACACAGGTGGATGGTCCAGGAAGGGGATGTCATGGGAGATAACACCTCCTGACAGACACTCTCTGAGCAGAAGATGGCTTGATCCCCAGGTTATTCAGTTGGGATGACACACTCAGATCTTCCTTTGAGGAAGAGCTGGGGGCACAGCATGTGGTAGGTGGGCAGAGGGAGACTGAGGCAGGGTGTGGGGACTGGGACTGGCCAGGGCCGGGGAGTGGAGAAGGGGACAGAAGGAGCGAGGCCTCCAGGGCAGCCCTGGTGTGCAGTCAGATCAACAGGCCCACGCACAGCGCTCGCTGCTGGGTCGCAGCGTAAGATGACACGGGAACACAGTTCACCTGCAGCACTGCCTGGTCAGAGCAAAAATCCTGGCCGGGCATGACGGCACACACCTGCTCCTTGGGAGGCTGAGGCAGGTGGGTCACTTCGAACCGGGAGTTCAAGGCTGCTGCCCAGGCTGGACCCCAACTCAAAACAGAACAAAACAAAAAAACCTGAGGGAAGCCAGTGGGGTGGGGGGAGCAGCCAGGTAGTAGAGCAACTGTGGTGGCAAAGATGGATGGGTCTTTCCAAATATCCAGTAGAATGTTTTGAATGTTTTGAATGTTCCCGTGCAAAGCAGTGGCCAGCGTCTGAGGGGATGGATCGGACAGTCCCACTGACCCGAACCTGGCACTTGGTACACACAGAGCAGAACATCGCCTATGCCCCCTAAACGTGCTGTTCTCATAGGTCCACAAACAATCAAAAGCAAAAAAGCAACCGCAGGTGGTCGCCCTGCCCGCCCCACCCGCCCTGCACGCCTCCTCCCCCACCCCGAGAGGAGGACCCTGAGTGTCCCCTTGGTCTTCCTGCTCTACGTGGTTCTGGCTGCCGACACACAGGCCCTGGGCTCACTGCTGCAGCTCAAGCAGGAGTGCTGCTCACGGTGTGGTCACATTCCCTTTCAGCTGCCTCTAACTTATTAAATCAAGTGTTTATTTCCTTTGTTTTTAGGTATCTGTGAAGTGCCCTTCAGAAATAACACAGCATCAGTGACCTTCTCGGCCCTTTGCACCTGGGGCCCCTGCTCAGCAGCCTGCTCTCCCCAGTGCTGTCCAGGTGGGCTGCCTCCAGGCCAGGACCCGGCAGTGTTCAGACGGAGCATGTGGGAGGCAGGTTCCTGAGACCCCGGGTATGGGAACATGCCTCTGTTCCGTCAGAGCCCTCAACTGTGGGCGGGAAACTGTTCTCAAAACTCAAAGGCCCCGGCCATGGTCTCCCACTGTCCAGATCACTGTGGAAAACTGGTGCCCTCCCGTGATCAATCCTTCACAGACCTTACATCTGGTCCTGCTCCGCTGCCCGTCTGAAAGTTTTCAGGATCTTCAATGTAAACTCACTGTCTGCAGCTTCATAATGAGGGACTTGGAGTGGGTTTTCCCTCTGTCATCTGCTCAGCATTCTAGGGCCTCTAAATTTGGACAACAATACCCTTCTATTTGAGAGGTATTTTCTTGTTATTTGTGTGTGTGTGTGCACGTGTGTGTGGGCGTGTGTTGCTGGGGATGGAACCCAGGGCTTTATGCATGCTAGGCAAGTGCTCTAACACTGAGCTACACCCCAGCCCTTTTTGTTTTGAGACAGGATCTTGCTAAGTTGCCCAGGCTGGCCTCAAACTTATGGTCCTCCTGTCTCAATCTCCTGAGTAGCTGGGATCACAGGTGTGCACCACAGTGCCTGGCTTAGGTTGCTTCTTTAGGACCTGCTTTATCCTGCAACCTGGAGGGCAGACAAAGGTAGATTTTCATAACAAAATCCACTAAAAGTTTTTTTTTGCTTTCTATTATTAATGGATGCCAGCAACCCTCCATAATGCCAGTGATAAAATACTCCTCAGGAAAGTACCTTTGGTTAGTTAAGTGCAGGATTTGCTGATGTGACTGAGCTCTGATGTCAGAGCTTGTCCCACCCTTTTATCAACTTTGTACGCTATCTGGAAACCAGCTGAACTGTTTCCAGAGGAAGTTCCTAAAACTTGGGTGCAGTGTGTGCTTCCAGTCCTGGTGAAACTTTGCACCATGGCTCCTGTGTTTAACAGCAAAACAGACATTAGCTGTGCTTGAGGTATGTCAATGGTCATTCCAGGGGGTCCCTTGGGTTTTTATTTGACCTTTTGATTTTTGACTGCAAAGAATTCTGAAGGCTGCTAGGATTGTATAGATTCATAATTTCTAGAATGTACTGTGACGTAGAAGCTTCATGTACCTTTTCTAAACACTGTATCCTGGGCCTGAGGTTTTTCCTGTGGCTTTAAATGAAAGAAAATTTCAGTTTAATAGAAGGTGTTCTTGCCAGGCGTGGTGGCACACACCTGTAATCCCAGTGGCTCTGGAGGCTGAGGCAGGAAGGTCACTAGTTCAAAGCCAGCCTCAGCAAGGGTGAGATGCTAAGTAACTCAGTGAGACCCTGTCTTTAAATAAAATACAAAAATGGGCTTGGGATATGGCTCAGTGCTCAAGTGCCCCGAGTTCAATCCCTGGTACTCTAAAATAAAATAAAATAAAATAAAAGGTATTCTTGGGTTGGGGTTGTGCCTCAGAGGTAGAGCGCTCCCCTAGCACGTGTGAGGTCCTGGTTTCGATCCTCAGTACCACATAAAAATAAATAAATAAGATAAAGGTATTGTGTGTAACTACAACTAAAAATAAATATTTTTAAAAAGGTATTCTTTGATCATCTAGGAGGAAAAATTGATAAATATGGATGAATAGTCTATTTAAACTGACAATGAGAAAAAAAAAAATTTTTTTTTCTGATTTTGGTTTTTTGGTACCGGGAATTGAACCCAGGAGTGCTTAACTACTGAGCCATATCCCCAGCCCTATTTTGAGACAGTCTCACTAAGGGCTTTGCTAAATTACTGAGGCTAACCTTGAACTAGTGATCCTCCTGCCTCAGCCTCTGAAGCCATGGGGATTATAGGTGTGTGCCACCGCACCTAGCTAAAAAATTTTTTTTAATATTTATTTTAAAGTTTTAGTTGGGCATAATACCTTTATTTTACTTATTTATTTTTTTTAATGTGGTGCTGAAGATCGAACCCAGGGTCTTACATGTGCGAGGCAAGTGCTCTGCCACTGAGCCACAACCCCGCCCCCTAAACTGTTTTTTTTTTAAAAAATAGTTTTAGTTGTAGATGGGCACAATAACTTTATTTTGTTTATTAATTTTTTTATGTGGTGCTGAGGATGGAACCCATACCTCACACATGCCAGGGAAGCGCTCTACCACTGAGACACAACCCCAGCTCCAAAATGGGGTTTTTCAGTGTTAAATTTTCAAAAACGGAACTGACTACAATGTTACCAATTCCCACAGGCACCATGCTGGTGTGTGGGTGATGCCTCCCATCCCGCTGTGGGGTTCAGTGCAGTGGCCTCTTGCTCCGTGGGTGTGTAGGTGGAGTCCAGGGAGGGCAAGGTAGGCGCCAGCCCCCCAGCTTTCTCCAGCAGGCCTCCCAAGTCTGCCCCACTAGCTGCTGAGCAGAGGGGCCCGGACTGGGTCAGGAACAAGGTAGGAAGATAGCCAAGGGGAGAGGAGGCCCGAGTAGCAGCTAGGCCTGTGCACAGGGGCAGGGGCAGAGGTGCCAGCTGGTCTGGACCCTGGCCCCAGGTAGAAAAGCGGAGAGGGTGGGAGTAGGGTTGGGAGGATGGTGTCCTGGGGCTAGGAGCACCCAGCTGCCTCAGGGTAGAGGGGAGCCCCTCAGGCCGCAGGAGCATCTCTGACACAGGACTGTGTGGCCTCACCAGGTGACCACACTTGCTGGCTCAGGAGTGTGGGTTACCATGAGACCAGCATGCATGGTTCTGACAGCTGGTCAGGATGCAGGTCAGTCTACTACTCCACTGCTGGGCAGATGGCCCCTGACCAGCCAGGGCAGTAGTTTCCATTCTGGCCAGCAGGTGGCAGGAGAGGCCACAGGGACCTGAGCTCCGTTCAATGCCTGCCTTTCAGCCAGCAAGGACAAGGAAACAGGGCCCCAGACCAGACCCCAGGCATGACCTGGAGGGCTCCCATGAAGGAACAGCTTCCACTTCCTCAGTAAGGACAAGGGTATAGGGAGTGGAAAATCAGGGTCACCAGGAGAGAGGCCAGCTTCATCCTAAAATTCAAAAAAGAGGACTTAAAAACAGCACACTACAGGGACCCAGCCACATCAATGTTTACAGCAGCACAGTTCACAACAGCTAAACTGTGGAGCCAACCTAGAAGCCCTTCAGTAGATGAATGGATAAAAAATGTGGCAAATATACACAATGGAATATTACTCAGCAATAAAAGAGAACAAAATCATGGCATTTGCAGGTAAATGGATGGCGTTGGAGAAGATAATGCTGCAGTGAAGTTAGCCAGTCCCCCCAAAAAACAATGCCGAATGTTTTATCTGATATAAGGAGGCTGACTCATAGTGGGGTAAGGAGGGGAAGCATGGGAGGAATAGATGAATTCTAGATAGGGCAGAGGGGTGGGAGGGGAAGGGAAGGGGGCAGGGGGTTAGCAAGGACAGTGGAATGTGATGGACATCATTATACAAAGTACATGTATGAAGATATGAAACTGGGTGTCCACATACTTCTTTTTTTTTTTAAACAGTGTCTTTTCTGTTTTTTTTTTTTAAAGAGAGAGAGAGAGAGAGAGAGAGAGAGAATTTTTTTTTTAATATTTATTTTTTAGTTTTCGGCGGACACAACATCTTTGTTTGTATGTGGTGCTGAGGATCGAACCTGGGCCGCACGCACGCCAGGCGAGCGCGCTACCACTTGAGCCACATCCCCAGCCCCCAGGGTGTCCACATACTTCATAAACAAACAGAGATATGAAAAATTGTGGTATATATGTGTAATAAGAATTGAAATGTAAAAAAAAAGACACCAAAGTACATGTATAAAGGCATGAATTGGCGTGAACATACTTTATACAAAGATATGAAAAACTGTACTCTATATGTATAATAAGAATTGTAATGCATTCTGCTGTTGTGTATTTAAAAAAATAAAATCAATAAAACAACAACAAAAAAATCCAAAAAAGGCCCAGGATATGCCAAGCAGGGAAGGAGGGGTGCCAGGTGAGGGGCTGCTGCTGTAGAGGCCTGGCCAGGCTGGGCCTTTGGCTCTGGTGTGAGGTGGCTCTGAGGCTGGCTGAGGGTCACACTGAAGCAGGTCTTCACCTCAGGTGTCGTCGTGGATAAGGGAACTGGGGAGTCTTCTTTACTTTCTTCTTGGTCCTTTCTGTAGTTTCCAGACATCCCCAAGTGACCTGTGTTGCTTAAAGCAGAAACTTTGGGGCCACTGAGGAGTGAACCCAGGGAACCTTTCCACCACACTGCACCCCAAGTCCTCTTTATTTTGAGACAGTCTTGCTGAGCTTGGCTGGAATTTTGAGCCTCTGGAGTCCCTGGATCATAGGTGTGACTACTGTGCCTGACCAGAAACATTCTGACGTGGACGCATGGGAAGCATAAGAAGGCTTGTTCAGAATGGGACCTGAGCAGGTGGCTGCCTGCCGTACCATTCCTACTGATGCCCATGTTGCCTCAGGAGCTCACCCTCATACATGGTCTCCTGAGGGGTGGTCCTGAACTGACCCTTTAGACATTTGAGCCACTACCTGGGGGTGAGACCTGCCCCATCCCTGCACCCAGGAGGCAGCCCACCTGCTGGCCCCAGAGCAATGCCACAGGAAGTTTGTCATTCTCTTTCCCTTCACTAGGGTCCCCCCCAACACCCTACAGGGCCTCCAGGAGATGCTGCACCTCCAGCTGGCTGTAGGCTGGGCACTGAGCTAGGGAAAAGCCCCCACGGTGTGCTTGTGTGGGGGACCCTGGCTTAGAGCTGTTTTGGCCTTTCCAGGAGCGCGCCTATCAGAGAGTGGCAGACAGGGCAGCTGGTGTCTTTCAGGAGTGGCAGCACAAGGCAACTTTCAAATGACTGAGGAAAAAGAGCCACTTTTAGGGTAAGCAAGGGACTGTGGCCTCTGTGAGGTGACTCCCCCCCTGGGAGCAGCACCAGTTACATGAGGGGCATCCTGTGTATAGCCTTTGTGCCTCCTGCTCCCACATGCAAGTTGGCTGTCACCCCAAAGGCCCGAGGGAGTAAAGGACGTGAGGCATGGGCCTCAAGGACAGCGGCCCTGTCTGGGAAAGGTGAGTGCTCAGTTGTGTTCAGAAGTGTCCACAGTGCCCTACTGGACATGAAATGAAAAGCAGAAGCCGCAGCAGCAGAGAGAGAGAGACGTCAGTGGTTGGACTGCCAAGGGGCAGCTGCTTTCCTTGAGGACCTTCAGGTAGAGTGGGGGCCACTGGCAGTTGTCCCCTTCAGTGCTCTGTAGGTCTAATGGGCAGCTGCTGGGGCCTCCCCTCTGTGGCCAAGTCACAGGAGCTGGTGTCCACTGCATCTAGCCCTGTCCATGGTGAGCCTCACACTTTCTGCAGGGGCTCCAGCACTCTCAGGTCAGGATACTGAGGCCCAGGACAGTGGCCACCTCATGAGCACCCCAGACCCTGAAGCTACGGGAATGTAACTGCTGGTTCTCAGGGCTTGGGAGATGCTGGGGCCCCTCTTGAGTCTGCCCAGGGGAACTTGCCCTGCCTTGCCCTCAGGGGCTGCCCTGGTGGGATGACTTTTGCTTTCTTGCTTTCTTTTTTAAATATTTACTTTTTAGTTGTAGTTGGACACAATACCTTTATTTCACTTATTTATTTTTATGTGGTGCTGATGATTGAACCTAGGGCTTCACACATGCTAGGCGAGCGTCCTGCCACTAAGCCACAACCCAGGTCTCGACTTTTGCTTTCTTTTGGCAGGAAGGAACCTGTGTGGTAATCCCCAGAGTGAGTCACCTTTTTCTGAGCTGAGCCAGTGGCCACTTCCCATCAGAGCACCTCTTGAGTCTTGTAAGTCTCAACTCTGTACACAGGCCTGTTATTAGAATGGAAAAAAAAGTGTGAAAACCCTCTGAACACAGGAAAGTCTAAAATAAATGAAGGTATTTTTGTGACAGAAGCACTGCCACACTGGTACTGGTATTGTCCCCGTGGCCCTGAAGTGCTATCAGCATTTGTCTTGCTGGGAAAAATTTTTTTTTCCAGTATTGGGCATTGAGCCCAGGGCCTCCCTCATACATGCTAGTCAGCGCTCTGACACTGAGCTACACCCCTGCCCTTGGGGAAATCTCTGGATGTAGATGGAGCTGAGGTAGTCTTGAGCCCCTTCCCTTGTGGATGTCGCCATCCTGCCAGGGGTTCTAACTCCCAAGGAAGGGCCCACTGCCTGAAGGCTGGCGGAACATTTTTCTTTTTCTTGTCGTGCTGGGGCGCAAATTCAGGGCCTTGTGCTTTTTGGACAAGTGCTGTACCACTGGGTTACATTCCCAGCCCACAACTTTCCCATTTTACTCTGAGGAAGTATCTGAGCTCTGCTGCAGGTAGACCCCCTCATTCTGGGGTGCTGGATTCTCAGGACCTAGATGCAGCTGGGAGGAGACCCTCCTTGTGCCTCAGAGCAGTTAGTTTCTGGGCTTGAATGAGATTCTCCTGACCTTGCAGGTGAGAACTCAGAATATTTCCAGGGCTGTTTGCAGCCTCCATGAAGCTAACCGTCCTGGTAACTCTCTGAGTTCTATCTGAGGCAGGGAGGCCTTGCTGTCATGTCCCAGGAAGCGAGTTTCAGGTGGGGGAAATTCCAACTCCAAACCATGACGTGGTGCAAGCAGTGTGGTCTAATAAACCACCCCACCTTTCAGCCCATTCCATCCTTGGGCAGTTTCCAAGGCTTCCCAGGGACCTTACCTCTGAACCTTCTTCCTTTCCAGCCCAGGGAGAGAGCCGCGGAAACTCACGGAACACGAGAGTGTCTGCTCATTTTTTGGCAAAGCCCACGCGCTATCCTGTCCAATGCTGGCTGACCCCTTATGGAGATGACGGAGTCAGCCCTCCCAGCGATGCCGCCTTCTAGATGTTCCTATTTGCTTGTTCCACATTTCCATGTGTCAAAAAGGCAGAGGAGACGCTTTTCTTTGGTGGTAAATTTCACACAACATAAGAAAGGACCATTTAAATCTTTTGCAGTGGACAATCCAGTTAGTTCTAGATGTCTCACTATCCCCAAAAGAGACTATGCCTCTGTTCCGGCGATTCGAGCCTTCGTGGGGATGGGAGTATGGAGCGAGAGAGCCTTAGGCTGGCCCTCGTAGTCCGGACCTCACAGCAGATTTAGCACACTGGGACTCCGCGACCGCTTGCAACCTGCGAGAGCAAACTTAAGTATCAAGCTGCTGCAGCGCCGACCAATCGGCGCCTGCTGCGGCTCCCAGAACGCTCTTGGTAGGCCCTCGTGTCAATCCGTCAGGAGGCGGGCCCACAGCAGACGATTCCGACCAATAGGCGCTCTCCGCGGCTCCTTTCGCGTTCGTGGTAGGCTCGCGCGTCAGTCCATCAGGAGGGTTTGGGGTGGGGCGGGCCGACAGCGGCGGGGGCGGCGGCCGCGCGGGCGCCGAGTTCCGGGCGCTCAGAGACCGTTGGGTGAGGCAGCGCGGGTCCGGGTCGGGGCGGGCCCGGCGCGGGGTCCGGCTGGAGTCGGGGGCAGCGGCGGGGTCGCTGGCGGGGTCGCAGGCGGACGCGCAGCCGCCGCTGTCTGAGGGGACTTCTCGGAGCGGAGGAGCCGGAAACCGAAAGTCGGGGGTGGGGCGGGAAAGTTCGCGACGCTCGCGGCTGTGCGGACGGCGCGGGCCCTGGCGTGCGCGGCACGGGTCGCGGTCCCGGGGTCTCGGCCGCTGGGTCCCGGGGCCCTGCCCGACCCGCTTTCGTCGTGGCCGCGGGACGCCACAGCCCTGACTTGGACCTGCTGCCGCCTGGTCCCCCAGGGCCACCTCTGCAGCCGGCCTCTTGCCCCCGGGGCTTTCCCATCTGTGGGTTCAGGCGCGGGTCCCCTTGCTCCCCGGGCCTCGGTGGGACCCAGGCCCCTTTCCTGACTCAGGCCTTTCTGCCCATAGGACCCCCTGCCCCGTGCTCCGCCTCGGCCCCGCCCCGCCCCCAGTCCTTCAGCTGTTTCCCGGGAGAGGTGTGTGGGCAGGATGGGCCGGCGGCGGTGCGGGTGCTGTGTTGAGCCCAGGCCAGCTGAGCCGTGCAGTGCAGCCACGCAGGGCGCCTACCTGGGAGGTAGTGGGAGAGCATGGAGGCCTGGCAATGGCCTAGACTTTGGACTCGTGCCTCCGAGTTGGCCTCCTGGCAGGCTGCCCACGAGCCAAGTGCTGGTAGTAGAAGGGGCTGGTGCAGGTTTAAGGAGGGTTATCCTGGAAGACCAAGACCCTTGGGGAGAGGTGGCAGTTGGGGGTGGGTATGACAGGTGGAGTTGGGTTAGCCTCAGCTTTTATTGGGGTTCTTGGTGGAGGAGAGGTCCTGACTGAATCCTGTGTTAAAGGTCCTTGCTGCTGGGAGGAGAGTGAGGCCAGGAGGGCCTGGGTGGCCGCAGGGAAGCTGGTGCATTGGTCAGGGCTGGAACTGTCCTTAGATACATTTGGGGATATTTACAGAGTTGCTGACCAATCCCTGACACTCCACATGAAGTGGTCAGGGAGCAGAGACCCTATAGCCAGTGCCATCAGAAAACAGACCCTATCATGTACCCACATGATCTCAAAGAAACACTATTGCTTCATAGTTTAAATAACCTCTCTGTTGGTAAGCCTATTGTACGCATGTGTGTGTGTGTGGTCCTGGGACTGGAACCCAGGGCCTCACAAGTGCTAGGCCAGCACTCTACCACTGAACCACACCACAGCCCAGTGACTTAGCTTTTAATAAGAGAAACTAAATACTGATTATATGAATAAACATCATCCAACACTTGTCCTTTCCCACAGCATTTGCTTGTGATATTTTTGTAGAAAATATCCTCAGGTATTCAAATTGGTACAAGTTTCTGTTTGCTATTATGTTGTGCCTGAAAAAAAAAAGATGAGGTTAGGTATAAAATTATAATTTTGAAGTGGATTTCTAGTACTTTGAGGGGCCTCATACTTGGGCTGTGTGCAGATTAAATCTTGCCTGTTATGTACATGGGTTAGAAGTACGCAAGAGCAAGTGGACTACTATGTGGAATCTTAAAATTGTATAAAACAGTAGTGGGCCATTGGTGGAAACACACATTTGGGGAGCTTGAATCCCTAGCATTTGGGTTATTCCGGAGTCTGTTGTTTGAAGAGTTTGGCATAAACATCAACATTGGCCAGGGGCAAGGCAGTGCCACCCCACATGGCCAGGTTGCATCCTTATCTGCTTTTGATGTCTTGGTTTGGGCAATGTTGATTTTCATAACATACAATCTGCTTTTTTGGGTTTGCACCAATATTACTCAGCCATGTTCACATTCCAGATTAGGGGTGTTGAATCTTAAGTGCAAGCTTAGGTGATTTCAGCCTCATTAGGGTCACAGAGTATTCTTGGGGGCATGTCCCTATTTCCCTTTGCTTGCTGCTCTTTCCCTAGACAGTGGCCCAGGACTATAGTACCTGGGCTGGAGCTGGACTTATGTAGGGCACATGCTGCCAGGTTCTCCCTGTAGCAGAGGGAAGGGGCAGGCAGCGGCCAGGTGCTGATAGCCCACACTCTCCAGGGTGGCTGGGGGGCCCATTATTGAGGTTTCTCTTTGCCACTCTTTGATATTTAGGAGATTGGATTATTTTGGAGAAGGAGGCATGTGTCTGTGGTAATTAAGCACATCACCATCTTTTTTTAGCTCTTTGGAAATAGAAATTCAGCTTTATGTTTTTTGAATAAATTCTAAGTAGTCAGCCGTGTATATTTTTGTGTGCATGCATGTACATCATTTTTAGTACCCTTGAAGGCTTCTTCCTCACCCTGAAGGGCAACACTGACCTCCAGAGATAATGACCACTCAACTTCTGTCATCACAGGTTTGTTTTGCCTAACCTTGAACTGCACATAACTGGTACCGTTCCCCAAATACTGTTTTGTGTCTGGTAGACATGCCCTTTCTTTTCCTTTTTTGGCAGTATTGGGAATGGAACCCAGGGCCTCCTCCGTGCTAGACAAGTAATTTATCATTGAGCCATACCCCCAGCCCTTTTTATTTTGAAATGACATCTTGCTAAGTTTCTGTGGCTGGCCTGGAACTTGGGATGCTCCTACCTCAGCCTCTTTGAGTAGCTGGGGTTGTAGGTGTGCACCACCCTGCCTGGCTTGGGGATGCCCTTTTAGTAAAATGTAAGTCTTCTATATGAAGCTGGAGCATTTGTATGTGGACTACAGTTGAGAGTGAGGAAATCAGAACTTCCTATGACCACCCCCACACACCCACCCCCACACACACATACTTTCTCTCTCTCTCTCTCTCTGTCTCTCATACATGTGGATGTCAGTTCTGTTCTCAAGCCACTACTCTGATAGAGCACGACTTCACAGTAAAACAATCTGGAACCTGAAAGGTCTGCAGTGTAACTTTTTTATTTTATTTTTGCTACTGGGGATTGAACCCAGGGGTACTTAACCACTGAGATACACCCCCAGCCCATTTTTAATGTTTAATTTTGAGACAGGGTCTTGCTAAGTTGCTGTGGCTGGCCTTGAACTTGGAATCCTTCTACCTCAGCCTTCAACTGCTGGGATTATAGGCATGTGCCAGCATTGCCCAGCTGCAGTGGCTCATGAAATCAGTTAAGCAGCTTCTATCCAAAAAAAAAGAAAAAAAAAAAAGGAATAAAATAGAAAATTCAGAATACCGCTCATGAAGAGTAAGTATAGTTTAATGAGCCTTTTGTTTCAGTTGTATATGCAGATACAGTAAGTCACACAGGACCACTGGAGGCTGTAAACTGAGGGTGCTGTCTTGTTGTGTGCTGTGGAGGTAAGCAGGACTGCCTTTGTCTGTCCTGGCTAGTGTTGGTGTTTTGTGAGCTCTCTGGACTTCTTTTTTTTTGGAGATGGGGTCTTGCTGTGTTGCTCAGTCTAGCCTCAAACACTTTTTTTTTTTATATTTATTTTTTAGTTATAGGTGGACACAAAAATCTTTATTTTTTAATTTTTATGTGGTGTTGAGGATCGAACCCAGTGCCTCACGCATGTTAGGTAAGTGCTCTACCTCTGAGCCCCAGCCCCAGCCCAGGCCTCAAACTCTTGAGCTCAGGTGATCCTCTGGCTTCAGCCTCCTGAGTAGCTGTGACTGTAGGTACATGCCACTGCACCAGCCTCTCAAAGACATTTTTAAAGATATGCCACCAACAGGGGTGGGCACACATGGTGTGGAGAGCACATCCACCTCAGGATAGAGACAAGTGTTTTCTCTCTCCAGGGGACCTTGGGCATGTGGAGCCCCAGCATCACTTCTGTTGGGTGCTCAGGGGAGTGGACTCTGTCATATGGATGAGGTGTCATTGCATTATAAATTTAGAAGTGTTGGTTGAAATTGGGTAGTGTCCAGCAGATGTAAGATGACCCATAGGATCTTGTCACTTGTTCTACAGTGTCAGACCAGCCTAGGACAGTGAGAGCAGCTCTTGGTTGCTGCCCTCTGCAGGTCTTTGAGAGGCTCTGCAGTGACCTAATGGCTTGGAAGTCTGTGCCTTCTGCCATGGAGGGTGCTGGTCCTATAGATGTGGGGTTGGAGTGTTGCTTGGAGATGTGTAAGTTGTTTCCAAGAGTGAGCAGGGGTGTAGCAACTTCTGGGGCCACAGGATTTCTGAGTTAAAAGTGCTTCCTGTTCAGGGGCTGTCGTAGTTGCCCCTTTCCAATGGTTTGTAGGTTTGAGCTCTGGATGTTCCATTTTTTTTTTTTTCTTTCTTTTAGTAATTTTTTTGCATAGAGGTTTGATGTGAGGTCTCTGGAGGTAGTTGTCCACAGGGACCAGCCATGTTGGCTGCTGGGGGTCTGAAAACACAGCAGTTCCTGTTGTGTGGTATGTGTTGTGGGATTATTTTAATATATGTAATCAAAATTGTGGTGTGCTTGAAGGAATAGTAAACAGCTCATAAGTCAGGTAGCCATCTTCAAAATCAGCTGGTATACCTTGACAAGCTGTGTTACTGTGTCCAGGAACATTCTGTCAGTGCTTAGGTCACTCAGTGACCTCCCAGGGCCACAGGCACAAGGAGCAGGCCCGAGTATGCACCGTGTGGGCAGTGAGGGCATGTTTAAAGGAGGGGCCTGAGGCTCAGTGTGTTTGGGACAGCAGTGGACACCAGTGGGGTCGGGGTCACGGTGAAGGTGGTGGGGTCTGTAACTAGTTTTCTTCTGAGTGCGCAGGACACCTTAGGTGAGGGCTTCCATCTGGCATGTGTTGGAGAAAAGCAGGGGGCAGGGTGGAGATGAGAGGGGCTAGTACTGCGGGTGTGGGAGGCAGAGTGGGCAGAATTGGCTGGTGCTTGAGCAAGGAATGGACCCAATCTTCTGGGTTTGGCAAGTCCCTAGCAAGTGCCAAGTGGTCTTGAGACTAGAAAGTCCACTTTCTGGGGCAGCATCCAGGACAGAGACCAGAGAGGAGGAAGGAGGGGCATTAGCAGCCTCCTGGGTCTATCTGGGACTGTCTAGTCACTGGGTCTGCTGCAGGTGAGCAGTTGTGGGACTGAGTGACCTGCACTGCTGGGTCATGACCACACAACAGTGCTGTTTACCTCACCATAGTCTTGCCACCAGTGATGTGACTGCTGGGTGAGGCCCTGCTGATGCCAGGATCAGGGTGACCTAAGGCATTGAGGGCCACCAGGACACCCTTGATGACTTGGACCTTGGGCAGGCAAATTGATAGGGTCTGTAGCCAGGTAGACCCGCACAGCCCAGCTGAAGAGAGTAGTCAGGCTCCAGGAGGCAGCAAGGGCCCTGGCTAGGGCTGTTGTCCATGCACAGGGCAGTCAGCATGCCTGTTGCTCCTGCAGCGGAAGGGGAAACATATTTGCATCTTGAATGTTGGAGTAGTTCTGAGAGCTGATTCCTTAAATAAAACATGACCAGAGTTTTGCTCTGAAGAGATTCTTGGGAGCGTATTGCTTCAAGCTGCTTGCAGCCTCTCTGGCTTCCCTACTTCTTCTAAGGAGTTTCCTCAGACACCAGGCCCTCCTTCCTGCTCCTTGCTCCAGGGCATGCACCCACTGCCACCTGGGTCCGCCCCTCAGCTGTGTGCTATGTTGGGAGTGCCCCCTTTTACCCTCTTATCCTCACTTGTACAAGCTTGCTCTTCTGCCTGAGAGGTGACCTGATTCCCACATCCTTCTTACCAGGAGGGGCCCTGAGAACAGTGTAGTCAGAGCTTGGTCCCAGTCTGTAGGCTGCTTTTGGAAGGGGATTGTGGCAGGGAAGCTGTCCTTAGCAAGCAGCATGCTCTTGGGGCTGTGGCCTGCCAGGTGTGAGGTTGTGAGCAGCAGTCCTGCTTGTCTCATCAGAGGTGTCCTGCTGCAGCTTGGGGAACCCAGGGCTCCCCATGTCTGTGCTGCTGTCCAGCTGCGTTTCTGGTTCACAGCTTCTCATTGGTGCCTGTGACATGGATGTTTCTGTGCCCACTGGACCCAACACATGTGAATTGACTTCACTTTAGCCAGAAGCTCTGAGATCTGTGTACCTGGGCTTTACTAAATTGCCTGGGGGGGCTGGGGATGTGGCTCAAGCAGTAGCACGCTCTCCTGGCATGCGTGCGGCCCGGGTTCGATCCTCAGCACCACGTACAAACAAAGATGTTGTGTCCGCCAATAATTAAAAAATAAATATTAAAAAATTCTCTCTCTCTCTCTCTCTCTAAAAAAAAAAAATAATAATAATAATAATAAATTGCCTGGGGCAGGGGTGCTTGTCCTTCCCTCTGCTCCTGAAAATGTTGGCAGAAGAGAGGGGTCCAAGGCCATGATTGGGAACTTTGTAGTAAATTGTCCTTTCTGGCCCCCTTTTCCCCTGCCAGGGAGTTCAGGGGAACGGAACTCATGGAAGTTGCTGCCAAGATTCGAGACAGGGCTGCTGTCTGGGAGGAGAACGCTTGGCAGCTAGGTGCTGTTTGCTTTTCCTCTCTGCCTGATCAGTGGGTCTTGGCATCCTGCCCATCATCATCCAGCCCGAAGCAGATGCCTCTTCCCGGGCTTCTGCATAGTGAGGCCTCCTGATGGGCAGGGAAGGGAGAAGCCTGCTCAGTCTGGAGCAGGAACCCAGTGGAGACTGTCGTGCTGGAGGGTGAGGGAGGTGGGCGGTTGAGGAAGTGCTACAGTTCATCAGAAAGGAGAATGGGGTGGGGGCGGGGGTAGGAAGAGGCAGCTCCGCAGGTTCAATTGGCAGTCTTTAGAAGAGGCAGAAGAAATGGGCACCAGACGCTGGGCAATCCAAGTAAAGCTCCTCTGTGGGGCTTACTGAGGCCAAGTACCAACAGGTGCCAGGGCTGAGCTGGCACACAGGAGCTCTGTGGTTAGCCTGGATGGTGCAGGGACTGAGCAAACAGGGAGCACAATGGCCGGTGCCTAGCCAGCTGCATTCCCTGCCCAAGGGGCTGCCTCTGGGCACTGTCTAGGACCTGACAAACTGTCAGGTGGGCACCATCCCCAAACATGCTTTTTGTAGGATCATGGGCACAGAATGGAGGATGGTGTACTTTAGTGTAAGCCAGAAGGTGCCTGTTTTCCCAGCCAGGGTTCATGCCAGCAGAAAACCCGTGGTCATGGTCTGCGTGTGCGCTAGAGTATGGCCATCACCCTCTCTGAGCCGCAGGTTCCACATCATAACAGGAGATTGGACTAGCCTGTCACCAAGGCTCCCAAGAGCTCTGTGTTAGGTCCCCGTTACAGGTTTGTGCAGATGCAGTAGTTCAGACCCTTTATCACTTGCTACTGGTGGGCTCCATCGCCTTCATTTTTCCCTCCAGAGGTTTGTTTGGGAATTGAAGAGTAACGTGGGCTGTGTTCTTCCTTAGGGCTTCGTGACGTGTAGGGGATACAGCTCTCATGGCTGCAGCCAGTGTGACACCCCCTGGCTCCCTAGACCTGCTGCAGCCTGGCTTCTCCAAGACCCTCCTCGGGACCAAGCTAGAGGCCAAGTATTTGTGCTCTGCCTGCAGAAATGTCCTACGGAGGCCCTTCCAGGCCCAGTGTGGCCATCGCTACTGCTCATTCTGTCTAACCAGCATCCTCAGGTGCGCATGGCCAGCTACCCAGGATGGGTGGGGACAGGTGGGTGGCACTTTTGCTTGAGATGTGCCCCCCAGTGTGGTCGCTCCCAGTATGAATCCTCCCTGGGTTCCAGAGGCTTAGTACAAAGAATGTGAAGTTAATCATTTATTGTTTGTTGAAATGCTAATTTCAGATATGTGGGGTTAAATACAATATATCATTAAGACGTCTCTCACCTGTTTTTGGTTGTTGGTAATGAGTGTACCAGAGTTTCTAAATTTGATGTGAGGCTTACGGCTCTCTACACTGCTCCAGATGGGCAGGGCATGTCACTCCTTGGTAGTGGCTGGTTGGTGTGTGTTGGCTATCCAGTGGTCTAAGGGTGAGCTGTGTGCCTGACAGTGGCAGAAAACCCGTGGTCATGGTCTGCGTGACAGTGGCCGTGCCTCTAGGGAGGGCATCTGCAACATGTACTTTTGGGTGGCTTTTCAGAGAGCGTGTGCCTCGTTCACAGCAGAGTCACAAGTCACAGCCTCAGAGGTCCAAGCTCCATGTCCCTTTCAGGGTTTGAATTGTCTCATTTGTTTGAAATCTTTTAAATACTGTACATTTGATATATGCTGTTGATTTCATTTAAGGTGAGAAAGTGCCAGGCACAGTGGTGCACACCTGTAATCCCAGTGGCTTAGGAGGCTGAGGCAGGAGGATTGCAAGTTCAAATCCAGCCCCAGCAATTTAGTGGGGCCCTGTCTCAAAATGTAAAAATGGGCTGGGGATGTGGCTTAGTAGTTAAGTTCTGTTGGGTTCAATCTCTGGTACCGAAAAGAAAAGAAAAACGTGAGAAAATTTTAAGAATTTATGGGGGGCTGGGGTTGTACTTAGTGGGAAAGTGCTTGCCTAGCATGTGGGGCACTGGGTTCCATCCTCAGCACCACATAAAATAAATAAATTAAATAAAGGTCTTGTGTCCATCTACAATTAAATGACTAAAAGAAGAATTTATGGTGTGGAATTTATGGATTGGGCAAATTCTGTTCATTTTTTTTTTTCTTTTGGTCTTGGGTATTGAACCCAGGGGTGCTCTACCACTGAGCTACATCCCTAACCTTCTTTATATTTTGAGACAGGGCTTTGCTAAGTTGCTGATGCTGGCCTTAAGCTTGTGATTCTCCTGCCTCAGCCTCCTGAGCCACTGGAATTACAGGCATGGGCCACCATGCCAGACTTAATTTTTGTGTTTTAAGACAAAGTTTCATTAAATTGCTGATTCTCTGGAGCTCGGGTTATAGCTCAGTGGTAGAGCACTCACCTGGCGTGTGCAAGGCCCTGGGTTTGATCCTCAACAGCACCTAAAAATAAATAAATAAAAATAAAGGCATGATGTACAACTAAAAGAAATAAATATTAAGAAAAAAAAAAGTTGCTGATTCTGGCCTCGGACTGGAGACCCTTCTGCCTCAGCCCCCAAGTGACTGGGATCGCAGGTGTGGGTACTACATGCACACAACCCTGCATCTTGGTCTGTTCAGCTGCCTAACACACACCGTGAACAGACAGCAGGAATTCACTTCTCACCAGGATTACAGGTGTGCACTACCATGCCTGGCCTGTTTGTTCTTTGTAATAGTTTTTACAGTGGGGTTCTGTTTTCCTCTGTTCCCAGCAGCTCTGGGCCTCAGAATTGTGCTGCCTGTGTTCATGAGGGCATATATGAAGAAGGCATTTCTATTTTAGAAAGCAGTTCGGTAAGTACAACATGTTAAAGCTAAAAATGTTGAAGTTAAAAGAAAATATTTTGGAATTTCCTTTAATAACATCAGTGGCAGAATGAGACCTTAGAAGCTAGAAATTGCCCGTGAGCAGACATGAATGTTCAGGGTTGGTGCACAGAGGTGAGGTGGTCCTCAGAGTTATCCTCTGCTTCTGGAGCTCCTCAGGAAGACTGTGCATGTTGAGTCCTGCGCTTTGGACAGCACTTCAATAGCAGCTGGGTGCTGGGAGGAGGCCTAACCCCTGGCTTTCTTCTTCCCAGGCTTTCCCAGATAATGCTGCCCGCAGGGAGGTGGAGAGCCTGCCGGCCATCTGTCCCAATGATGGGTGCACTTGGAAGGGGACCCTGAAAGAATATGAGGTAAAGACAGGCATTCCTGTTTTGCTGGGCGGCTCCAAGAGGCCCGCAGGTATGTTGGGTGGCTGAGCCAGGGAGTTGAGATTTCTGCCCTTCACAGGAGCTCTGACTGGAGCTGTGCTCTGCTCTTGGTGGGATGGAGCCTGTCTGATGTGTTTGGAGAGATACAGCTCAGAGGTATAGCTTAGAAATGTTCTTTCAGAAACTCAAACCGTGTTGTGCATAGGCCTGTACCACGGGGTCTGATACTTCCCCTCTCTGTGCCTCAACTTCTTTTTCTGCTCATAGGATGTAGCTCCCCTTGTTGTGGGGTTGGTGAGGACTGGAGGTGTGTGAAGACCACCCATGTGTGTGAGGTCGTGGGGTCATGCTAGCCCTGGAGAGTGTTTGCTTCAGCCGTAGGTTTACCAGCAGTGGCGAGCAGCTTCCAAGCCTGGTAGGGTTTTGCGTTGTATCCCTTGTGTCTACAAGGTATCCCTTGTTGTTAATCTTGTTGGGACTGGAAATGGGCACAGAGGTTCTGTGATCTCAAAAGGCTTCTGGCCAGTGACAGTAGTGAATGGTGCCTGATTTATGCACTGTCTCTGTGTCAGCTGAGGCTGACTCGTCCTGTGTCAGCATATTGGGGACTTCATTGTGATCCTCACCTCATCTTTAGGCATCTGCAGCTAAACCTTCAGTGTGAGCTGAGAGGTGCTGAGAGCTAGTTCGGCCACTGCAGTCCACCAACTTACTCATTCTTTCTCATCTTAGTAAATGCCCTTTTAAAAGTTTCTATCTCAGGTGCTAGTTCCGAACGTTTCACAGCAGTAGACTGTCCACAGTAGCTCAAGGTGGAAACAGCCTAAGCATCCACTGGCGCCTGATGGATAAATAGCACATGGTCCTTCCATACTATGGAAAGTTGTGCAGCCTTAAACAGGAAGAGACCTGTGACACCTGCTACAGCCTTGAGGACAGCATGCTGAGTGAAGAAGCCAGCCACAGAAAGACAAACCCTGTAGGATTGCCCTCGTATGATGTCCTTAGAGTCATCAAATCCATGGAGACACACAATAGAATGATGGGTACTAGGGGATGGAAGTTGTACCACGTTGGTGGGTGCAGAGTAATAAATTGGGATCTCAAAGGGGGAGGCATCTTGATGCAATCCCATCCAGTCCTGGGTGGTGAGATTGTGAAGGACTGTTTGCTCAGAACCCTGACTTTTCTATGCGCACGGGACTCCCAGGTCAGGTTGCTGGGGCCAAGGCCCACTGGGATGCCTTCATGCCCTGGTAGTGGGCCTGGGTGTCTCTGACTGAGCGGGACTCTGGGGCAGTTGGAATCCTGGTTCCTGGTGGGTTTTTCCTATTTTGTTCCCTGTTCTTGTTTTTTCCAGTATTTTAAATGTTTTGGTGCTGGGGATCAAACCCAGGTCCTTGTGAATGCTAAGCACACAGTTTATCGCTGAGCTATCCCCAGCCCCTCCTGCATTGTTTTTTTAATTTATTTTTATTTTTTAGTTGTAGTTGGACACAACCTTTATTTTATTTATTTTTATGTGGTGCTGAGGATTGAACCTAGGGCCTCACACTTCCTAGGTGAGTGCTCTACCACTGAGCCACATCCCTCATTGTTTTGATCAACTCCGCTTTGTGATCTTTGGGTTATCAGTTCTGTTTTGCCAGAAAAACAATTTGGGCTGTACCTGGGTGAACAAAAGCTGCACTGTCCTCACCAGCTTGGGGTCTGTCACAGCCTGATCATGTGGTCACAACCTTCACTGTTTGCCCAGAGTGAACTACTGTTCAGTGCTGTTGAGAGAGCTGGTCCCTACGGAGCTGATATGGGATCAGGGTCTTCTGGGAGGGTGGGATGCTGGGTGGGTACAAGGACAATGTGGGCATAAGCATCTGGGGTGCTGTATGTCCTGTTGCCCTTAAGGTACCCTGGAGATCCCTTAGAGCAGGCAAAATAACAGTCCCCAGCTCTGTGGTAGCTCTGGATCCCTCTGTGATCTCTGTCGCCTCTAGGCTCGTGGTAGGTGAGGTTAGTGGCTATGTGGGCCTCAACTGAGGGCTAGGGATAGCAGCCAGGCATGGGCTTGGGTGCCACGCGGCCCCACAGGCATGCAGGATGGAAAGTCCCTGGCTTTGCCCTTTGAGGGCTCTGGAAAGTCCCTGAGAGGAGTTGGGTTTGGTCATGTGGGAGGGGCAGGCACTGCTCTGGGGCAGCTTGGCCATGGCCTGATTTTATTGATACAACCTCTTCCTGGCAGTAAGTGTCAGGGGCAGGGACAAAGATCTTGTTCTCTGTAGAGTCTCCCTCTCCTCTTGCCCAGCCCACATCTATTGCTTGACTGCTAAAGCAGTTTTCTCTTGATAGTCTGGGCTATTGAAAAGTTGGAAAAATGACAGAAGTTCTGTTTAGCCTTTGGCTCTGTTTTTCCTTTTGGTGATGTCTTTCCTTCAAAGAATGGAATGGTTTTAAAAAGCCCCACAGTCTGAGCTATCTAAATGGCTGTAGAGAGCCTCTGGTCAGGTGGTCCCACTACTGCTGTAGGCCTGAGTGCAGGGGCTGGGTGGTGGGCACAGAGGCCTCTCAGATATGGGTGTGCACGCCAGCATGGGAGAGGCAGGAGTAGCCAGTGTGCTTGGTCTCATCCCGTGTTGTGTTGTTGGGAAATGCAGCATTACAACAACTGTATTTACTTGAAAATTAAAGTCAAATTCTGGTTGAATAAATACTGTTATCTACCAGGTGTGGTGGTGGTACATGGCTGTAATCTCAGCAACTTGGAGGATGAGACAGGAGGATCACAAGTTTGGGGCCAGTCTCAGCACCTTAGCAAGACTTTGTCTCAAAAATTAAAAAGCGCTGGGGGCACAGCTCAGTGATATAGTACTTTCCTAGCATGAGCAAGGCCCTGGGTTCAATTCCCAGTACCACCAAAAAAATAAAAAAGAAAAGAGAAAAGGAGCTTTCTGGAATTCTGTGTGGGCTGAAAGGAGACTGCACTTGGTTCTGGTTGCCTAAGTGTGGTGGTACAGCACATCTGCTGTCGAGAACCCTGGGCTCACCTGGGAATTTCAGGAACCATCAAGGGAGATCAAACCCAGGCCTTGCACTCGCTCAGCACACACTCTACTGGTGAGGTACACCCTCAGCCCAGGAGAAAATTTTTATGTATTACTGTGGCTTCATGCACAGCAAGTGTGAGCAGGGAGCAATAAGCTGAGAGTGGGTCAGCGTGGGAGCTCCTGGCCCTGTCACCTGCAGCAGTGACCGTCCTTTTCCAATCGTCTTTCAGCTATATCCTCTACCACATTTCCCTTCTGGAAACACATATCGTATCATTTCACCTATGAGTATTTCGTTTATTTATTTTTTGTGGTGATGGGGGTGGAAGTCAGGGCCTTGTGTATGTTAGGCAGGTACTCTACCTCTGAACTATATCCCCAGCGTTATGAGTAATTTATTTTTTAATACCTTTATTTTATTATTTTTATGTAGTGCTGAGGATTGAACCCAGCGCCTTGCGTGTGCTAGGTAAGCACTCTACCACTGAGCTATGACCCCAGCCCCACAAGAATTTTATTTTAATAAAGTTTTAAAGAATAATTTTTTTATTTTTTATTGGTACTGGGGGTTTAACCCAGGGGCACTTAACTACTGAGCATGTCCCTAGCCCTTTTTATTTATTATTTATTTATTTATCTATTTTTAAGAGAGAGAAGAGAGAGAGAATTTTTTAATATTTATTTTTCAGTTTTCGGTGGACACAACATCTTTATTTTATTTTTATGTGGTGCTGAGGATCGAACCCAGTGCCTCGTGCATGCCAGGCAAGTGCGTTACTGCTTGAGCCACATCCCTAGTCCCCTTTTTACTTTTTTTTTTTTTTTTAATATTTATTTTTTAGTTTTCAGCGGACACAACATCTTTGTTTGTATGTGGTGCTGAGGATCAAACCCAGGCCGCACGCATGCCAGGCGAGCGCGCTACCACTTGAGCCACATCCCCAGCCCCCCCCTTTTTACTTTTTGAGACAGGGTTTCACTAAGTTGCTGAGGCTGCTTTGAACTTAGAACCCTCCTGCCTCAGCCTCCTGAGTCACTGGTGTAAACCAGTGTGCCTGGCAAAGAACAGTTTTTGATTTAAGTTTTAGTAGCTTAACTATTCATGCTTCACTTTTTGTTTCATACACTGCTAAAGGTCAGTAGCCCCTGAGGTCCCTCTGCTCAGTTTGCTGATGGTTGCATATGTAGCGGCCCTTAGTGTGTTGGCATGTACTCTCAAAGCTGCATTGTGGGATCATGCACACAAGCGTGTCCATGCTGGCCAGAGACACCCCTAAAGCCCAACCTCTTTGACCTGATGATTCTTGGTATGGTTGCCCCAGGCCCTGTGCTTCCCAGCTTATGGGAGGCCCTGTCACTCAGGCTGTAGCTCAGCTGCTTACAGATCCCCATCCCTGGGGAAAGGGCTGTTTTCTGAGAGCCTTGAAAATGCTGCTCCATAGACAATGGCTTTCCTGTCTAGAATCCCACCTGCTTCCCAGAACTTGAATGAGGGTGCCCCGTTCCTTTAGAATGACCTTACTCCAGAGTCATCCAGGAAATCCTGGGTTGTAGCCCTAGTCCTTGTGGAGGTACTGAACCACCACAAGGGGCCTTGCAGTCAAGTCCTTTCTTGTTTACTGTGGACCATCTCTTGGCCATGGGCATGTTCCCTCTTTGATGTTATTTCCCCTCTCCTGGTTGTGCCGTCACACTTGGTATGCCCTGCTATCTCCTGTTCAGATCCTCACCTGGCACTCAGTGGGATGAGCCAGGCACAGAAGGACCTGTCCTTTGGGATTCATTTGTTAGGTCTCCACAGCCTTCAGGTCCATAGAGATACAGTACAATGGAGATTTCCAGGGGCTGGGGAGAGGAGGTCAGTATTGATGGGTTCAAGGGGTCAGTTTGAGAAGATGAGTGCTATGGATGGATAGCGGCAGTGACTGACAGCTGCCCAACAGTGTAAATGTGTGAGTGCCATTGAATTGTGCACTTAAAGTAGTTAGGATGGTAAGTTGTATGTATTTTTATCCCAAATTAAAAGCTTGCCAACCAATCTTGGGCTCTGTGCTCCCAGTGACCCTCCAGTGCTGCCTCACAGTGCACCTGTCTCAGGCTTGTGGTACTGGTTTTTGCATTTCCCTGGCATCTGCAGGCTGGCCTCATTCCCCCTGTGGCTGGGGACCCAGAGGCTCGGGGCCTGCTAGACTTCTGTCCTACCTAGCCCAGCATGCTGAGTATGCAGTCCTCGAAGGGCTCAGCTCGGTCTTGTCGCTTTTCTTTCTAGAACCCTCACAGTAAGGCATCCCTGGGACCATCTGTGAGGACCAGACCAGGGCAGCCTTGGGCCTAAGAGGTCCCTGGATGGGTTCTTGCTCTGCCTTCTCCCTCTGGGTTCTTTTACACATTGCCAGCCCTTCCCTGGGACCATGTAGGCCCCCCTCATCCAACCATTGGCCTGCAATTTGGGGTTCTTGCCTTCTCTAGACTGCAGCACAGGGTGCTTTCCCCAGCCCTGCCTCATCTCCAGCACCTTGTCTTTGCTCACTGGGGAGGGTGTTCCCATGTTGGTGGTCAGTGCCACAAGTGACTCATCTGTTTTCATGGCCCCACATGGCTTATGGTTGGCTCTCAGTGTGTTGGGACCAGTGAGTGGGCTCTGCGGTGGTCCCTGCTTCTCACTCTGGTCCCCTCGGCCCAGTCCATTTTCCTCACAATGTAGGTCTCCTCAGGTATAATTGCCGGGTTTCTGTTCTCGCGACTAAAAGGCTCAGGGGTTACTTCAGTTGAACTGGGCTGACTGGGCTGCACAAAATAACCTCACAAGAGACACAAATACCTTTTTGTTTGGGGTCGCTGTGACAGCTCTTCTGACCTTAAGGGTCCACAGGAGAGAGAGCAAGAGCACGCGCTGATCCCTTTTATTGAGAAAAAGCTATTCAAATGAGGCAAGGGGTCAGGTTCAGGGGGCTGAGTCTATCCTCATGATGTCCACTGTCAGCAGGTTGACTGACATCTGGGTAGGCCACACCCAAGGGCACAGTAAGAGAAGGGGACACACACAAGGCACTTCTATGGAAGATTCTGTCCTAAACAGGGCAAGGGGTTATTTAACAAAGGAACAGGTGAGCGTAGCTCCACCCATGGGGATATAGGAAGACACGCCCATGCATGAGACATGGACCCTCGAACCCAAGAAGGGTGGGGAAAGCTCTGCCACATTTCTGTGACTGAGTGCCTCAGCACCCAGCTGGGGAGTGTGACTCAGTCACGTGCAAGGTTGGTCTCCCACATGTAACACTGTGCATTTAAAACAGCCCCACCAGGCCTGGCCTCCAGCACCATGGCTGGGCTGGTCTTGGGCCTTTGTCTTTTGCTGGGTGACCTGGTGCTATTTGCAGGGTGGCCACTTTCACAGTGTCTCCATGTCTCTGGGCGTGGCCTCTGGCTCCACTTATTCACTGTAACTGAGGGCTGAGGCATGACCTGCTTGCTTGGTAGGAAGCTGTCTTGGAGAGACCCTGGTACCAGGTGCGCATTCAGCTATTCCAGAGGTGAGGGCAGAGACAGGGAGCCAGGGTGGTGGTGCCCACCCAGACAGCAATTGTGGTGTCACCTTGGCTCAGTCTGGGACAAGGAGTGATCCATGTCCCTGGCATCTGGGAGTGGGGGGGGCACATTGGACCTCCACTGTCCTTTTGACCTGTGGAGGGGATCTCCAGGAGGGACAGCAGCACAACCCAGGGATGCGACACTGTGTGCTCGGGTTGCTGTGCTGTGGTGTCTGCCTGTGCTCTGCTGATGCCTTCTTTGTCTCTAGAGCTGCCACGAAGGACTCTGCCCCTTCCTCCTGACTGAGTGCCCTGCGTGTAAAGGCCTGGTCCGCCTTGGGGAGAAGGAGCGCCACGCGGAACAGGAATGCCCAGAGAGGAACCTGAACTGCCAGCACTGCCAGGAGCCCTGTGGCCATGCTGACCTGGAGGTGTGCGGGGCAGGGCAGGACCACAGCTTGGGTTCAGTGCCAGTGGTGGAGCTGGTTTGGCTCCTCTGCCTTTGTTCCCACAGTGTCAGCTTTCCTGAGGCCATAGGGTGGAGGGTTCTTGGTGGGACTGGGCTTGGGCGTAATATCCATGCGGAGCAACTTTAGAAAAGGTTCAGGCACTCAGGTGTGGGGTAGTGCATCACCACCACCAAGCTGTCCCTCCCCAGACTGCTAGCCAACAGGTCTTACATGGCATCCCCGAGTGGTCGCAATCCAAAGGGCCTGGAGCGCAATGCATTGTGGCCATGTCCCCTATGGGTAGCTTTCCCTTCTAACAAGTACCTGAGGTAATCCACTTACAGAGAGAAAGGTTTATTTGGGCTCTGGAGTACATGGTGGAGTAAAACTTCTGGGAGAGGGAAGGGAGGAAGAGGGAGGTGTTGGGCTTTCATTACTCCTTGGGGTGCACATCCCCAAGGGACCTAAAGTCCTCCCCTAGGTCTGTCTTTGTGTGTGTGGTGCTGGGGGTTGAACCCAGGACCTTGTTGCCTGCAAGGCACGCACTCTACCAGCTGAGCTATGTCCCCAGCCCTATCTTTTTTTCCAGTTCTGGGTATTGAACCAGGAGGGCTTAGCCACTGAGCTACATCCTTAGTCTTTTTTTTTTTTTTTTTTTTTTTGAGACAGGGTCTTGCCAAATTATGAGGCTAGCCAGGAACTTGTGATCCTCCTGCCTCAGCCTCCCAAGTCACTGGGGTTATAGACATGGCCACCATGCCCAGCTTAGGCCCCACCTCTTGAAGGTTCCATCGCCTCCCCTCAGTGCCATGCTGGGGACTAAGCCGGCCACCATCTGAGACTGTTCAGTCTCTTCCTCCCTCACTGCCTAGTGCCTGGCATTGATGTCCCCTCCTCATGCCCCTGACTGCTTCTCTTCAAGGCACACCATGAAGTCTGCCCCAAGTTCCCTTTGACCTGTGAAGGCTGTGGTAAAAAGAAGATCCCTCGGGAGAAGGTAAGGTGCTTCCTTATGTCCTGAGGACCTTGGCTTAAGGGTTTGCAGTGAGGGTCTATGCCACATGATGTGCCTAGAGACAACAGAAAGCCTCCCTGCTGCTGGGATCACGGGATGGGCATGGCTTGCTCGGGCATGACAGCCACCCTCCTGGTTGAGCCAGTGCCCTGCTTTCTGGCATACCTTGTCACTTTTTTTTTTTCCCTTGTTGGGGATGGAGCCTTGAGTATACTGGATAAGTGCTCTACTACTGAGCTATATCCCCAGCCAAAGTTACATCTTCATTATTGTGAAAATTAAACATTAAAGTTGTCCTTGCCAGGTGCAGTGGCACACCCCTGTAATCCCAATGGCTTTGGGGGTCTGAGGCAGGAGGACCGTGAATTCAGAGTTAGCCTCAGCAACAGTGAGGTGCTAAGCAACTCAGTAAGACCCTGTCTCTAAATAAAATACAAAATAGGGCTGGGGATGGGGCTCAGTGGTTGAGCACCCCTGAGTTTAATCCCCGGTACCCCTGCCCTCCCCCAAAAAAAGTTGTGCTTGCACCTGAGAAGTGCTGTACTGGCCTCAAGCAAGGGGTCTGCAGCAGGAGACCAGGGTGTGGAGACCTCAATGTCTGGGTCCAGGCATTCATCTCCTCGCATGCTCGTCCTGTGAGGAGGACGGCCCCTTCCCTGCATAGAGCCAGCGCTGTGGAGGAAGACCCCGCGAGGAGGGACTTTGGGAATGCTTGCAGAAATGTACTTTGCCACACCTTTCTTCTTGGCTTGTGAGGTCAGGGAGGGGATGAAGAGGCTGAAGCGGCAAGAGCTGGCGTGTGACTGCATTGGTGTTAGAGGTCAGATGACGCCAGTGGCTGCATTTTGTGTCTGGATGGCAGCACGAGGGACTGTAGACTGTCCAAGCCCATCCTGTTCTCTTGGCCCTTCAGCTGGTGCCTGTCTGATTTGCTTCCATTTAAATACGAGTGATGGCCCTAGTCCTAAAATGGGTTGCTCTGAGGGCCAGGTCTCTCTTCTCTGATTGAGCTTCCTGTTGAAGGTTCTCCTATTGCCTTGGCTGAGTGCTTCCTTGAGGTGGCATTTGGCCTTCACCAGGGACTGGAGCTGGCTCGGGGGTTCAGTGAAGTTCAGCTTCAACCCTTGATGGAATGTTATAGAGGGCCTGTGATGGGTGTGGTGGCCAGGGTGCCTCCTGGTATCCAGTGCTGTCAGGCTGTCTGCTGTGGTGGCAGGTGCTGTCCCAGCTGAGTGTAGTCTGCAGTGTCCTCTATCGGTGCCCATCCACCAAAGCCAGGATGGATCCTCTCCCTGTGGTTTTCCATTATAGAGTGAGAGAACTGGCCTGGACCAGCAGGTCTGGTGGGCTTTGTTCCTCTCTCCTGTCTTTAGGGCATGTAGCTTTCCATACTCATCTTCATCTTCATACTCAGGGCCCTCATCCTCAGGTGCCCTGGGTCTGTTTCTCACAGGTCCCTCACCTGTGCAGTACCCAGTGCCAGTGTGTGGCTCCTCTAGAAAGTCCCCATCCAGGCCTGGAGTTCAGTCCTTGGTGGAAAGTGACATTTAGGGGCCTCAGTGTCAGTGCCCTATGCTTCTCTGACTGTCTGTGTTCCTAGGCCTTTTCAGAGGAGAGAGCGAAGAAGGAGTTCACACTGCTGCTTCTAAGAGTGAGGGGACTGGATACTGCAGGGCTTGTAGGGATGCAGTGATTAGGTGGAGAGTCAGGGCCCTGGCATGTTAGGATGGCAGGACTTGCCATGCTGCTGGACTCTTGGGGAGCAAGAGACCCAGCTCTGTAAGAATTTTCTTTCTCTCTCTCTAATTTTTTTTTATTTTTTATATATATAATATACATACTTATATATATTTATATATTTATATTGGGAATTAACCCAGGGGTGCTTTACCACTGAGCCAGATCCCCAGCGCTTTTTAAAATATTTTTTTTTTCTTTTCTTTATTTTATTATTTTTTTTAACGTGGTACTGAGGATCGAACCCAGTGCCTCATGAATGGTAGGCGAGCACTCTACCTCTGAGCCACAACCCCAGCCCCGCTTTTTAAAACTTTTTGAGACAGAGTCTTGCTAAGTTGTCGAGGGCCTTGAACTTAGGATCCTCCTGTCTCAGCTTCCCAAGTCACTGGAATTACAGGCATGCACCACCATGGCTAGCTCTTTAAACTTTATATTCTGGTTGGAAATCCGACTTTTTGGCAGCATTAATAATAATTTATTTGTTTTATTCTATGTGTATATAGATGATAGATTTAAAATGAAAGTACAATAAAAAGAGTGAAGTTTACAATTTCTTTGAGGTCTATTTTGTCTTTGGAAGAATATCTTACTGGGGGTTGTGGTCCAAGTACTGCATTCTGAGGTCAGTTGTAATGCAAAATTTCTCTTTGTGTCCCCGACATATGCAGGCATACTGGCATATGGGTAGTTAATTTGCTTTAATTATTTTAAAGGTGGTGGATGTTTATCTTTTTATTTGCTTTTGATTTTTGGTCTGAAACACCTGCCTAACTCATCAAACCCTTTAAGGGTCCACTAGAGCAGTCCCATGCTGACGGCCTCTCTGGGCCCTGTCTACCCTGCTGCCTCAGGTTTTGGTGGTATCTTTCTCTCTGAAAGGAGAGCTGGGAGCTAGGTCTTTTCATGCCCATCAGTGAGGCAGGTGCTGCCTATCAATGATAGCAGGTGCTGGCCTTGGCTGTGGGCTTCAGGCCCAGAAAAACCTGGGAGCAGTGGGCAGCCACAATGCCTTTACATGTGGTAATATATCTGCCACTGATGATGAGAGTGACAGTAACCCAGGCCACGGTTTGCTGGGGGCACTGGGGGATGTCCCTCTCAAGCAGAGACTCAGGAGGCCAGACAGCTGGCTTGGTGGACCTGGACTCCACACATTTCCAGCTGTGCCTCCCCACCACGTCCCCTTGCAGTAGGGTTCCGGTTTCCCAGCCGTTGTTGAGCTTTCTCTGGTACACAGGGCTCCAGAGTGGGGTGTCTGGTGGAGGGGCTCTCACTCCTGCTCCACGCTTTCCCACAGCCCAGTGTTTCACCTGAAAACATCTGTTTTTTTAGGGAAAAAAAAAATACTCTGGGGCTTCATAGCAATTTTTTCATTCCAGATCTTTACCTGAGTTTTGGTCATGTCTCTTTTTTGCAGAAAACCCAGTCCTCGTGACTTGAACCTGGTAGCTTCTTTTGTCCCACTCAGTGCCCTAGCTCTGCACCAGCAGCAGTGTGAGTGCTGGCCATGTGGCTGGTGGCTGGCTTTTGATGGAATTGCTGTCTTTCTTTGCTTTGAGAATCTATAGGTTATGACTGTGTTTTGAAGCCACCAAAAGTAGTTCTCTGACTCATTGAGGCTGCTTATTTCATTTTGCTTTTGACTTTTAAAGATGGTACTTTAAGAAATGTTCCATACTTTTGTAAAACGGTCCTGTGCCCCAAAAACGAACCTGTAGAATGTGTGCTCCCAGATGTCCAGGGGTGTGTGTCATAGTGTTGGCCCAGTCCCCTGTGAGGCTCTGTCTGCAGACCTGCCCTTGGTGTGTGGTGTTGAGGGAGGCTCTGCATAGTACTGGCTGAGGGGTTCCCAGTGGCACTTCCTAGAGTGAGTGCACTTGCGCTCCTTGCTGGGAGACGCCATAGGAGGCTCCTCTCTGGTCCTTAGAGGTGCCAGGGGGTAGGGGTGGTGATCATTTGTTCTTCTGTGTTGCTTAATGGTGTGTTTAGCCCTCTATGTGGGGGCAGTGTCTGAGGACTTCTGTCACTGTTCCTGGATTCTGATGTGTAGTTGGGTGTACCCCACTCTGGGCTTCCTCCCAGGACCTGTAGGATGACTTTCTCACGGTGCAGCCTGCAAGTGGAGTAGGCAGGGCTCCCACATGGGCTCCGTCCTCCAGCTGCTGCCTCGCCCTCAGGCTGCTTGTCAAAGCAGCAGTCCTTTTCCTCCCCTGGTCTGAGTACAGTATGCACAATACCTGCACTGGGGCCTCTTCCTGGGTCTCGTGCGCTCCTCCGTGGTCCATCTTTGCTCTCCTGCCGCATGGCACATGCTGGGGTTGTCAAAGGCCTGTCCTGTCCTCTGGCACTTGTAGGTTGTGGGCCCATGTGTGGCCCCCAAGGCCCCAGGGCCTCAGTGCCATGCATCCTTGCAACTGAAGGTGACAAAGTGTGGCTATTTTCTGTGGGACGCAGACTTCCTCATGAACACCCTGGACTACCCACCAGCATCCCGAGATGCCAGCCCACCTCAGTTACTGACAGGGCTAGTGGCCAGGATGTGTGTGTGCACAGCTTTGGAAATGGGTGGTCAGGTTTTATTCTGATGAGAGCTAGCCCGTGACGGTAGGGCCAGTGGTTCCCTGTGTAAACTCTGACATGATCAGTGCAGAAGGGGTGCAGTGGGGTGAGCTAAAGCAAAAGCAGCCCATGTGACTTCATCCCTTTCACCCCTCCAGTTTCATGACCACGTCAGGACGTGTGGCAAGTGCCAGGTCCCCTGCAGATTCCATTCTGTTGGCTGCCCTGAGATGGTGAGTCCAAGGGTCTGCAGTGAGAGATTGGGCAAACCTGTCCCTCATCCTGGGCACAGTCTTCACTCAGCCTGCAGTGCAGATCTTCCTGGTTCCCCAGCCTCCTTGCTTTTCCCCTGGGTCTCCCTTGTGGCACCCCTCCTCCTGGCCTCAGGTCCCAGGTCCAGCCTGGGAACTCCATTCACTCTCATTCTTTTGGAGATCGCCTAGTGTCCTGGCTTTAACCAAATGTGTGTGTTCACCTGGCACCTAAGCCTCCCTTGATGCCTAGTGGGCATCCCATATTCACCACAGCCAGCTTGACTCATCCTGCCATCCCCTGCCTTCCATCTCACCAGAAAAGAGCACCACCATCACCTGGTTGTTCAGCCAAAGGCCCTATGCCTGGCGGTTGTGCCAGATGTTGCTCTGGTCCAGACTTCACATCCAGGTGATAGACGATTGACTGTTGGCAGCTGCACCCTGCCCCAGGATGGCTGCTCTGGTCTGTCCTTGCTTGCAGTCCCCGAGCTTCTCCATCCTCACCCCTCCCTCACCCTGGCCCTGACCTCTGCTGGTGACTGCTGATCTGTTCCCACCCCAGGCCCTTGACCTGCCAACTTCCAGGGGCCCCTCAGACCTCTGCATGCCCCTGTCCATGAGAACCTTTCTCTACCCATGCAGACCAACCTGTACCTGCTCTGTCTTCACAGTCATTGTATCTTGTCCCTCTTGCTCTGTACAATGAGAGCCCCTTGAGGTCTGGACTCTAGTTTTCCCTCGGGAGGTTCTGAGTGGGTGGGCACCCCGAGCACTTGCAGGTCTGGGGATAGTGTCCACCAGCTGATGCCTCTTCCTCTGGAAAATGAGCTTAGCAGCACTCAGTGGTGGCAGCAGTCATGGTGGGGGGTCCTGTCTGGTGATTTTTCACATAGCCTTTTGTGTTGAGCAGTGGTGAAGAGGAGAGCTGCTGTTGTCTAGGAGGAGTGGGGTTCCATGCAGGAGGTAGTTTTAGAGCCCACCACCAGGGCCAGTGCTGCTATTTTCTGGTCCCTGTTGTGGGCCTCTTCAGTACTCAGATTAACTCAGAATCCATCATGAGTTCATGGGTTGCTCCAGATCCGAGCAGTGTTGCTGGTAACCTAGTTGATCCAGCACTGATGCCCCTGCTGGTGAAGCCAGCAGGCTTCTGGGAGTTGCATTTCTTCATCACACACATCCTGTTCCCAACAACCTCATGCCTTGAAGAGAGGGCAGGTACCAAGGGCACCCTCTGCTTTTTGGGTGACTGTGCCTCTAACTGGGCATCCAAATGAGTACCTTTGTGTCTTTTTGTTTGTTTGTTGTTTAAATTGTAGATAGACAGAATACCTTTTTTTTTTTTTTTTAAGTTGTAGTTGGACACAATACCTTTATTTTTTAAATTTATTTTTATGTGGTGCCAAGGATTGAACCCAGTGCCACACACGTGCTAGGCAGGTGCTCTATCACTGAGCTACAACTCCAGCTCGCCCTTTCTGTTTTTTTACTTTTAATTTTTGAGAGTTTTAAACATTTTTAAGTTGTGTTGCAGAAGTTTGAAAGATAATTAGTTGCAAAGACAGACCTATAATAGAGGCATCCCTAAGAAAGCCTGGTGGTGTCTAGCCCTGCCTTCCCACCCTCCTGCAGGGACAGCTGTTTCTGTGCCTGGAGGCCCTCTTTTTTCCTTTGTCTGTTTATTTTGTGTTGAGTCAGGGTCTCACCGTGTTGCTCAGGCTGGCCATAAGCTCCAGGGTTCAAGTGACCCTCCTGTGTCGCCTGCCTGAGTGCTGGAGCTAGAGGCATGCGCCACACTGTCCAGCTCACATTGTCCAGCTGCCTATTTATTTTAAAAGCAAGTTACATAGGAAGCTTTGTATTTTTTTTTTGAGAGAGAGAATTTTTTTTAATATTTCTTTTTTAGTTTTCGGCGGACACAACATCTTTGTTTGTATGTGGTGCTGAGGATCGAACCTGGGCCGCTCGCATGCCAGGCAAGCGTGCTACCACTTGAGCCACATCCCCAGCCCGAAAGCTTTGTATTTTTGAAACATACTTTTGGACAGTGGCAGATTAAACATCATGGTACAGAGAAAAAGGATGGAAGTGATTGAGCCCAGCTGTTACCAGTGTCTTGGGTATTCCTGTGTCCTGATGGCCGTATGCCCTCAGTGAAATAAGGCCCACAGCACAACAGCTGTCTTGGCCAGCATTAGCATTGCACAGACATAGCTGAAGCCTCCTGCCCTGTGTCTACAGATGGAGGCTGAGGAGCTGCTGGAGCATGAGGCACATCAGCTGCGGGAGCATCTGGCCCTGGTGCTGAGCTCCCTCCTGGAGGCACAGACTCTCCCTGGGGGCCAGAACCAGGTGGGACCACAGCTACTGCAGCGGTGTCAGACCCTGGAGCAAAAGACGGCCACCTTTGAGAACATCGTCTGTGTCCTGAACCGAGAGGTGGAGAGGGTGGCTGTGACTGCTGAGGCCTGCAGCCGGCAGCACCGGTTAGACCAGGATAAGATTGAAGCCCTGAGTAACAAGGTTTGTGCCTGGTGGGGTCTAGTGGCTCATCAGCTTTGGAGCCTAGGCAGCATAAACCCCTTCTGTACCCCAAGCCGAGCACGGTGCCTTCCTTCGGCTGTGGCCACCTACATTTCTCTGAGGGACCTGAAGGGTTACAAGGTGTGACAGCCAAAACCTCTTCTTTCTGGCCGGGGAGGGTGGCATCAGCAGTGTCACGTAACTTGTGCTGTGCAGCTTCTGGGCACACTAGGCCCAGAGCCTTCAGTGTGGACTTGGAGCCTCACTTCATACCTGGAAGGAGCAGACCTAGGAAGAGCTGAGCCAAGGGAGCTGGGGTGGCTGTCCTCCTGAGACTGCTGGGTATGGGAGGTGGGGGCTTGGGGCCCATGGCACATGTGGTGACCACTGCCCTGCAGGTGCAGCAGCTGGAGAGGAGCATTGGCCTGAAGGACCTGGCCATGGCTGACCTGGAGCAGAAGGTCCTGGAGTTGGAGGCATCCACCTACGATGGGGTCTTTATATGGAAGATCTCAGACTTTGCCAGGAAGCGCCAGGAGGCTGTGGCTGGCCGTACACCTGCCATCTTCTCCCCAGGTGTTGTTTCAGAGCTCCCCACTTACCCTGCTGCATTTCTGTACACCTGTGTCCCCTGCCCCAGTGGCCACATGGAATGACTCCTGAGGCAGGGCTGGGAGCATCCCAGCTGACACCAGGAGCATCTGTACTTCTGAGGCACCCCTCAGCTGGGCAACATGAGAACTGCTGGATGTCAGGCTGGCTGCTCACAGGGTGTGCCCCTTGCCACTGGGTGAGCGGAGGGCACGTGGGCATGGTGATGGAAGATGGGCCAGCATAAGGAGGAACATGGCGCTCTCGGGTGTTAGTGGCTGAGCTGGTCAACCCCTGTGGTCTGGCTTCTGGTGTCTGCTGCAAACTGGAGGCCTGAGGTCTTCTGAAGGGGACCTGTGGGTCTCCTCCGGAAGGCACTCCTGTGGGGCCAGGAGGGCCGTCTAGTTGTGGGCCAGTTTGTTTCTGTGACAAGGTCTGCCGTGCCAGGATTGTGCTTCTCAGCATGCTGCTGGAGCCACCTTCCTGGGTACTTCAGAGCACCTCCTCTGTGCCTGGAGGCCCTCCTGGTGGTGGCATGACCCTGGCCGTCGTCCCTGTCCCTGCTCAGGCCCATCATTGGCTCAGACTTAGATACCATCTCCCTGGAGGACACTCTGTTTTTGTGTTTTCTTAGGGAACCTGCTGATGAAACAGTAGGTTCTGGGATTGAGGCTAAGAGGCTGAGACCCCTAGTTGGGTGGCCTTGGCTTGCTGTCCCTGCTCTTTAGGGACCTGCACCACCACCCTCCTGTGTGGCACATCCTGTAGTGCCTTCAGCAAGGGCCAGAAATGAACAAAAACCATACACTCTGGCTTCCTTGGAGTGAGATTGAAAGAACAAGTTTGTCTTGGGAAGACCTCAAGGAAGTGCTCTGGGACAGCCTGTGGGGCATGGTGCTTCTCTTTCTGGATGGGTTTTGTGCCATGTTCCCCTTGGGCTTTCCTCTGCAGGTGGACTAGTGCCATTCGTTGGACGTTTATAGAGAGCCTGGTATGAAGGGCCATCATGGCAGGGGTTGTGTAGGAACCACACTTGTGCAAAAGGTCCTTTTTGCGGAAAAAGTCTGCTTTAGAAGACTTGGTGACCTGTGCTTGCATCTGGCAGTGGCTGCGGAAAGCAGGGAAGATGGTTTTCAAGTGTTATGCCTGGGGCTCTGCTCTGGGGACTGGGTATGGCCTGCATTCCTCTTCAGAGCCTGAAACCAGAACTGTGGAGAAGCAGGAGGAGGTCAGCTACTGTTGGCTGGGTGGAACTGTCAGGGTGCTCCAGGGCAGTGTGGGGGGAGTCTGTGGGACTGTCAGGGTGCTCCAGGGCAGTGTGGTGGGAGACTGTGGGACTGTCAGGGTGCTCCAGGGCAGTGTGGTGGGAGTCTGTGGGACTGTCAGGGTGCTCCAGGGCAGTGTGGGGGGGAGTCTGTGGGACTGTCAGGGTGCTCCAGGGCAGTGTGGGGGGGAGTCTGTGGGACTGTCAGGGTGCTCCAGGGCAGTGTGGGGGGGAGTCTGTGGAACTGTCAGGGTGCTCCAGGGAAGTGTGGTGGGAGTCTGTGGAACTGTCAGGGTGCTCCAGGGCAGTGTGGGGGGGAGACTGGAACTGACAGGGTGGAGTCTGTGTAGTCAGCACTTCCTGAAGAGGAGAGATTGAAGGCTGCGGCTGCAGTTCAGTGGTCGAGTGCTTGCCTAGCATGTGTGAGGCACTGGGTTTGGTTCTTAGCACCACATATAAATAAAATCAATGTCCGTAGACAATTTTTTTAAAAAAGTTATCCCCCCCAAAAAAAAAAGTAAATAAGTAAAAAATGGATGATTGCAGGCTAGCGGCAAATCTCAGTGTTGCCCACATGTGCCAGCCTCCCGGTTCAATCCCAAAAGAAAAAAAGAGGGAAAGATGTATTTTGGCTCCGAGTTTTGAAGCCTGCAGTCAGTCCATGGTGGCTTGGCCCCACTGTTCTGGGCCTGTGCAGCACTTCATGGCAGGGAGCTGTGGTGAAGCAAAACTCCTCTGTCTGATGACGGATGGAGAGTTGACAGAGCAATGGATTGGGGGTTCTACTCTCCCCTTCAAGGGTCCACCCCCAGTAACTGGAAGACCTCCCCATAGGCCCCCACCTTGTAGTTTCCGTCACCTTCTAGCAGTGCCACAGGCTGGGTTCAAACCTTCAGTACATGGGCCCAGGGGAACACTCCAGACCCACTGTACAGCAGATGAGTACATAAGTGCACCAGAGGGGCTGCTAGAAGTAACCGCAGATGGCAGAGCTGAGCAGGCCACGGCAGGTCTTGCTGCAGACTGAGACCTGGCTGCTAGAAGCCAGGCTCCACCCAAGTCTGAAGGCCTTAGGACACCAGGGCCTCAGACACTTGTCCTGTAGTCAAAAGCAGGATAGCCTGGATCTCTGATATCCATGGGCAGGGAGGATGGTTGTCCAGCTCCAGGGGAGGTAGACCAACCTGTCTCCTTCTGTCTGTGCTCCTTCTGGGTCATGGCTGGTCGGGTCTTCACCATTCAGTCCTCCACTGCCCCCCCCCCTCCTCTGGAAACACCCTCACAGACACGCCCACAGACAATGCTTTCCCAGCTCTCTAGGTGTTCCTTAACCAGTCAGGTGCCACTGAAATGAGCCATCATAGTCCCTGGCTGCGTTTTCTGTCCAGAGTGGCAGATCATGCCCCATGTGGCCTGGCCAGGCTGCAGCTGTTGCTCCTGACTGTGCACTGTTGCATGTGAGGGACATTACCTCGAGCTTGTTCTGGGCCTCTGTCCGGTGGTTTCCTCTCCTGAGGCAGGTTGGCTCCCACCTCTGATTCAGATGCTGGAGTGGGTGGTTCTTGCTCCTCCCCTCTAGGTTCACAGTTATTTCGTGCATTGCCAGAATAGGGGTAACATTAAGGGTTCCTAAAATTGCTATTTTAATCGTTATAAAGAAAAACTATTTCCATTAGCAACCAACTGCATATTTAGGTACCCTGGAAGCTGGATGTTCTCCTGTGTTCGTCTCTCTGTGGGAGGGCCTCCTGGCAGGAAGAGTGCTGCCGCCCTAACTGGCCCTCCCATCTCTCCAGCCTTCTACACCAGCAGGTATGGCTACAAGATGTGTCTTCGAGTCTACCTGAACGGTGATGGCACCGGGAGAGGAACACATCTGTCTCTCTTCTTTGTGGTGATGAAAGGCCCCAATGATGCCCTCCTGCGGTGGCCCTTCAACCAGAAGGTGTGAGAGGCCATCCCCTTGTCTGGGGGAGTGCCTGGGAGCCCCTGGGGTGCAACTTCCAAGAGGCAAGGTTGTCTGGGACAGGAAGGTGTGAGAGGCCATCCCCTTGCCTGGGGGAGTTCCTGGGAGTCCTCCAGGGTGCAGCAGGTGCATGAGGCTTTGGTAGTTTCTAGTCTGTTCCATGGTTACTGAGTGCTGGTTAAGATATGGGCAACTGGCTTCATGATCCACCAGTAGGGTTGAAGGTCCATCTGGGAGCGTGTGCTCCAGAGGAAGGTGGCAGCCACAGGGCTGTCTGGGGGTATGATTAAGTATTTGAAACCAGGTCCATATTGGTTGAGGATTTGAAGCTTGAGACCAGGTCGGAATGAGGATGACCCTTCCCTCCACCATCCTTCCAGCAGCCAGCAGAGGGGGCAGCTGGGAGGGGGAGTGGCAGGAGGCCCAGTGCCGATGAGCAGTCTGCAGCCAGGGAGTCTGGGGTTCTCTCCAGAAGTGCCTTCCTCCAGGTGGGCAGTGTGCTGCTTCTCTGTCAGTGCTGTTCAGAGGCAGCACAGGGAGCAGCCCCTTTGACCTGAGGTTCCAGTTATCAATGCACACAGGTGCCAACATGGGCACATTCTTAAGCAAGACTCGGAGCACGTTGTGGCCAGGGTGCCCAAGTGCTCTATTCTGGGAGTGTATAGCCACTTCAGGTCTCTTGGGAGCCAGAGCACAGGAGGACTTGGGTGACTCATGGGTACCTGTCCCCTTCCCTGGGCTGCCTCCTGTCAGGTGACGTTGATGCTGCTGGACCAGAACAACCGGGAACACGTGATCGATGCCTTCAGGCCCGACATAACCTCATCCTCCTTCCAGAGGCCAGTCAGCGACATGAACATTGCCAGTGGCTGCCCCCTCTTCTGCCCTGTGTCCAAGATGGAGGCCAAGAATTCCTACGTGCGAGATGATGCCATCTTCATCAAGGCCATTGTGGACCTGACTGGGCTGTAGCCACCCCTCAGCAGGTGCAGGAGCTCAGTGAGGAGCTGACACGCTGGTCAAGAGCCCTGCTGTGCAGGGCAGGCAGTCTGGGTGTAGGTGCTGGGGAGGCCTCAGCCTGCAGCCATGCTCACTGTCACATGAGGAAGGAGCTGTTGGCTAGTCCTCAGCTGGCAGAGACTGGAGAGACCCTGATGGCTCACCCCAGATCCCTGGTGGGATTGGCCAGAGCTCTTCTGATTCCCATCAGAACTGCCCTCACTGTTTTCTGTGCAGTGTGGGGAGAGTTCCTGGGTGGGGTGCCCAGAGGGGAGCTTCAGAGCTGTCTGAGCCGCAAGAGTGTGGTGGGTGGCCTGGTGCCTTTGGTGTAGTCATCAGAAAGGAGGCGTGGTCTGCGCTGGGAGAAGGGCCTCTGTCTGCAGAGTGTGGCCCGGAAGAGAAAGGGTGCTTGGAACCCAGGTGCTCTTAGGACAGGAGCCCGTCTGTGCTGGCCAGGCTGAGAAGCGGTGTCTAGCCCCGCCCCGTGTTGGCTACACCATCAGGCTGTGGAGAAATCACTATTAAACTGTTCAGACCTCTGTGATGAGTTGTGTCCATCTGGCTTCAGATTGCCTGTGGCTTCCGCCTGGGCAGGGGTGACCCTCTGGAGCCGCCTTCTTTTCCCATGGGCCTTTTCTAACAACTGGGGCTGCCTTCCCCGCTGCCAGCTCCCCAGAGGTTCCCGTGAGGCAAGGGCCCATGTGACCACCCCATCCTGGGCCTGGCTATGGTGGGGCAAAGGAGTGGACCCTTGGCCTCCCTGCATGCAGGGGGTCACTCAAGGATCCTGGCCTGGCTTGTTCCCAGGACTGTGTGGGTGGGGCGTGGGTGTGGGTGCTCGCTTAGTCCCAGGCTGTGCCACCAGGCTCGCTGGTGTGTTAACCACTGGGAGGAAGTGTAACCTCCTTCACCCCTCCCACTGGGTGTTTTGAGATGTCACTGGGTAGAAAGGCACCGAGCAAGTGAGGGTGAGCACCAGGACTGCTTGGGATGTGCTGTCATGTACATGCTTGTCACTGATTGTCACTCATTCTGCCTGGGTTTCTGAGCTCTATCTCTGTGTTTCTGAGAGTGTTATGTTTTACAGTGTGTAGAAAGTGCCCTGAGATGTGGGCAGGTGGCTGGCTTTTTCACTCACCTGTCAGAGGCCCCTCGTGTGGTGGCTTGCTGGGCACGTCCCGCTGCTATGTGGTGTGTAGCTGGAGGACACAACTTGGCCTTTGTCCTGAGACCATGTCTTTGAATATTGATGACTGTGAGCATCAGCACAGACCTGGCCACCTTCTGTGGACCTTGAGAGTTGGGCCACGGGGTCTCCCCTTCTTAGCTGCTGCTGACCTGCTCTGGGGCAGGTGCCCACACCTTTGTCCCTGCAGTGCTTTGTGTTGTCAGACTTTACCGTGTGTGGACAGTCCATCCTAATGCACATTTCCTGACAAAGTAGGGTCAGGCCTCCCTCCCTATTAGGTTCATTGTTCATTTGGGATTCTCCTACAGGAATTGTTAGTTTGTGTCTGTGTCCACTGTTCTACTGGGATGTTGACCTGGTTTCCTCCTCCTCTCCCAGGATACTAGTCCTTGGTTTGAAATGTTTGTGTGAAACTTAAAATTTTAGATAGGCTCAGTTGAATATTGGTTTTAAAGTCTTGTTTTGTGTCTTGGTACCTGGGATTTACCCAGGAGTGCTTTATTCCGAGGTACATCCCTAGACCTTTTTACTTTTTGAGAAAAGGCCTTGCTAAGTTGCTGAGACTGGCCTCAGGCTTGCAGTCCTCCTGTCAGACTCCTGAGTTACTGAATCACAGGCAAAGTTTTGTTTTAATATAGTGGGTTTCTATGTTTGGGGATTTGTTTATCTGTAATGTATATTATTTTTTTAGTTGTTGATAGACCTTTATTTTTTTTAATTTATATGAGGTGCTGCGAATTGAACCCAGTGCCTCACACATACCAGGCAAGTGTGCTACCACTGATCCCTAGCCCAAGCCCCAACATATATTCTTAGAATTAATCCAGGTTAAAGCTGAGGGATCATTGATATCATTTTCTTTCCCTTCAAAGAAAAATGAAGCTGGGTGTGGTGGTGCAGATGTGTTAATCCCAGCTACTTGGGAGGCTGAGGAGGATACAGGTTCAAGGCCAGTCTGGGCAACTTACTGAGACCCTGTCTCAAGATAAAGTTGGAAAAAACAGAAGGGCTGGTGATACAGCTTAGCATGCACAAGGCCCTGAGTTTCTTCCCCAGCACTGCCAAAAGAGGGGGGAAGGAGGAAACAGACTGGGGTACAGCTTAGTGGCAGAGCATGTGCCCGCCCGCACCAGGCCCTGGGTTTCATCCCTGGCATGCAAGAGCACACACACAAAAGAAGAAGGTAAAAAAGAAATGGAACTGCAGAGTGAGAGGAGTGGGGACAAAGCTGGGAAGAAGGCCACAGCAAAGAGTCCTAATCTCGTTTGGAAGTGGAAAGTGGGTCAGGGAGTGGAAACTGAGCAGAAGCGGGTGGAGGTGGTGGTCTGCCAACCTGTTGGGTCCCTGGGGTGGGGAAGGGGCGGTGAGTGAAAGGGGATCGCTTGCAGGTGCCTCTTTGCTGTCCTGGGGGCAGGTGTCCCCTCAACCTCACCCTGCAGGGGTGACAGGTCTGGAGGACCTAGAGGAAAGCCAAGGACGGTCCCCACCCCAGTGCAGAGAGGGGCTGCAGCTGAAAGGGGGAGAAGAAGAGGGGATCCTCCAGGGAGACCTGTGAGCTGGACTGGCCTGCTGTGCTTGCCCTCCAGGGAGGCGAGGGCCCTGCTCATGTCCTGGTCACCAGTGTTCACATCACTAATTTTAGGAACCTGACAGCAGCCACTCCATCCTCTCCCTCAGACTAATGGCCTCAGATCCGCCTCGCCCTGTGGATCTGCCTGTTCTGGACAGCCATGTGGAGGGACTCGGCCTGTGGTGGTGTGTGTCTGGCTTTTGGCACCCGTGTGGTGCCAGAGTTCCACTTTGTTACATTTGGATTGGAGGGACCCGTTTGTGTCTCCACTCGGTTGATGGACATTTGGGTGGTTTCCACTTACTAGTCACCCTGAAAATGCTGTCTCTGAACATTCACTGTTTCCCATGGACGTGTTTTCATTTCTTTCAACTCTCCCTACCTGGGGGTAGAGCCTCTGGGCTGTGTTCAGCTTTTTTATTTTATTTTTTCCCAGTGCTCGGGGGTGAACCCAGGGTCTCCCGCAGATGCTGGGCAAACTCCACCTGTGAGCCACACCCAGCCAGGTTTGGCGCCCTTGGTGCTCAGCTGCATCATCTCTTCCCATCAGTGAGCGCGTCTCAGTTTGTGCTGTCCTCTGGTCGTCCTCTGCACTCGTGTCAGCTGGGACTTCAGTTCCGTCACATCTCTCCAGCACACTGACTCTGAAGCATGCAACAGCAGTGCCAGTTTCAGCGTGTCTCCTTGCTCGCGGTGTTTCTTGTGTCTCTGTCTTGCTTGTCTTGAGAAAGAACACTGGCATTCTTTCTCCAGGGGCCTCAGACTTCCTGTGCCTGGGCTCTCTGCAAGCCATCCGCCGCCTGAACCTCGAGGGCGGGATTGCAGCTGTCCCCCTGCACCACCCCGTCTCACCCTTTCTTGGTACAGGTTATTTGGCTTAACTTTCTGGGTGGGTGATTTTTCCTCAGCACTTTGAGGCCACAGTCCTGTTACCTGAATCTGTTGCTTCAACATCTGCTGCTTGTCTGCCATGCTTTGTACAGGTAAAATGAGTTTTCTCCCTAGTGCTTTTTAAAATTTCACATAGTAGAACTGTTTTTTCCCCTTTTGGTGCAGTTCTGGAATTTAACCCCTGTAGGCAGCATGCAGGTGGCTCCGTCTTCCCAGGCCCCCGCCCTTCCCAGGCACACCCAGCAGCCACTCCCTGTCCTCCCTGGCTGGTGTGTGTGAGTGGGGCCATGCAGCCTGTGGTGTACTGTTGCACAAGGCATTGTGCCTCTTGAGAGTCAGGTGCCACTGCCCCGCTCTGCGGCAGAGTCCAGTGCACGGATGACCATGGGGAGTCTGTTCACCCCTGGAAGCATGTTTGTATGTTTTTTTGTTTGTTTGTTTGTTTGTTTTGTTGTTGTTGTTTCAGTTGTAGATGGACACAATACCTTTATTTTACTTGTTTATTTATTTATTTTCATGTGGTGCTGAGGATCAAACCCAGTGCCTCACATGTGCGAGGCAAGCGCTCTACCGCTGAGCCACTACCCCAGCCCCTGTATGTTTTTTGTTGTTTGTTGAGTTTTGTTTCGTTTTTGCAGTCCTGAATAGAGCTGCTGTAACATTGTGTATGATGAGCAGGTCTCATTTCTCTTAGGCAGAGCCTGAGAGTGGGTGGCCTGGTCACACAGTGAATCATCTCGCATATCTATTTGCTTTTTGAGACATGTTCTCACGGTGCTGCCCAGGCTGGTCTCCACTGCTTGGGCTCAAGTGGTCCTCCTGCTTCAGCCTCTCAGCAGCTGGGGCTGGAGGAATACATCACCGCGCCTGCTTGGTGAGCACATTGTCAGACTCCTTCTAGAAGAGCGCGCCTGAGTGGAGCACCACCATGCTGTGGCTCTGCGGTCCAGGCACTCAGCAGCACTGGGTAGGGTCAGTACTTGGTTGTTCTCATGATGCATGTGCAGGGCTGACTTCTGAAGTGTCCATTTGCTCCCTGCATTTCCTGGCTGGCATTTGTCACAGGGTTGGACTTGCGAAGGCTCCTCTTCCACTGAGTGTGGTGGTATAGGCTTTTGTTGGGCACTTACCAGGTTGAACAGCTTCCTTCTTCTTTGTAGCTTGCCAGGAGTTTTTTTGTGTGTTTGTGCTGGGGATTGAACCCAGGGGTGCTCTATTACTGAGCTGCTCCCCAGCCCTTTTCATTTTTTATTTTGACACAGGGTCTGCTAAGTTTCTGAAGCTGGCTGGAAACTTGCATCCCTCCTGCCTCACCCTCCCAAGTTGTTGGAGTCACAGGCGCCACCACACCTGGCTGGAATTTTTTTTTTTTTTTTTAATTGTGTGCTGTTTTGTTCAGCGCTTATTCTCATGGGAGGGGCTCCATGTGGCCTTTCTTGGTGAACGCATTGTGAATTCACACACTGGTGGCCATCTGCTGTGCCGGACCAGCCTTGCCTTCCTGGAGTAACCCGTGTGGTGGTGCCTCACCTTTACCTGCTGCTGGGTTTGATTTGATGTTTTGTTGACTCTTGGCATCTGTGTGTGTGAGGTATACTTGTCTGTGGTTCTCTTTTTGGATGGTTGTCCCTTATCCATGATTTCACTTTCCCTGATGTGTTACCTTTGTTCAGCTGTAGTCCATGATATTAAGTGGAAAATTCCAGAAATAAGCAATGCATAAGTTTCAGGTTGTGTGCCAATCTGAGGAGCATGATGAAATCTCACCATCCTTGTACCATTCTTCTTCTGTGGTGTCCAGATGTGAACCACCCCTGCGTCCAGCATGTCCATGCATATGCCCCACCCACCCACAGGCACTGGCAGTACCAATGCTGTTTGCTTGTAGC